CTCATCTCAAAAAATCTCAAATTTTCTTTATGTAATCCCTGAAACCTAAATGCATTACAAATGTTTGTTTTTTTTCAGTAAAACTTTGAGAGTTTATCTGTTATTTTCTAAAAGGAATCAGTCAATTCGACTGACCTTGTAACCAGAGGGAAAAAAAAAATCGAAATAGACCTAAATTACCCTTTTTTCTTTCTAGAATGACTTCAAATTGTAACATGAAACTACATTCGTTTATCCTAAGTAGCTCTAACTTTGTAACAGTGCATATCTATTTATAATTTTATTGCCCTTTGAATCGAGTCTAACCACAACCCACGCCATTATAAGTTGTAAATCACTCGGGGAACATGCAGCTCATGTTACGCTATCAAATTACATTACCCATGAGCTGGAGCTGCTCGTGTGGTGCCTCGTGAACCATTTTAATTATATTATTTTACGTAATCTAGTCTTAAACAACCTAAAAAAGATCCATATTTTTAGATTTTAGTTACTTTTATAATGGTGAATAAAGAATAAATATGAAAAAAGAGGAATAAAGTACTTACCAAACTTCTTTTTTCTTGCCCTCAACTGTCGAGGACAGTTAAGCCTGATTTTTTATAGTAATGCACTTAATAATTTTTGTTTAATTAAATAATGCACCAAAGAATATAGACAAATTACCTTACCTATCAAGATTTTTCTGGCTTTCTATCTATGCAACAAGAGTAGTTACAAATTCATCCAAGTTAGTCTTTAACTTTCCCACAGGAACGAATCTTGTACTGTGATTGAAATTCATGATATTCTGTTTAAAATACATTATACAATACGTCATTTGATAGATGAAAACCTTGACTTTTTAATGGTTATAAGTAATTTATAATGAAATGTAAGAGAGGACTATCAACGAATTGTGAAAGAGAGTATGTGACTAGAGAGGTCTGATTTTCTATTCGATAGCTCTATAACCAAACAAAATTGAAGACTATCAAAATTATGGTTTGTCTGAGCAATAACGACTTTACAGAGAGTAACTCACGTTTAATTACGTACTTTTTCGAGGGGTGGTGGATAAAATAGGGATGGTGACATGCTAAGAGAAAATGGGTCACACTAGTGAAAATTCAGGATTGTTTTAAATATTGCTTTGTAGAATTAAAAACTTAAAACTTATATACTATTAAAACATGGATTATTAGCTAAGATTTTATGCTATTATGATTGGTATAACATAAACAAAAAGTTGTTTAATAAAATTTTGAATGTAAGACACTAAAACCTTGTGTCATGTGCAGTAAAGGGTACCCAGGGCGATAGAATTAAAGTATTATTGTAACAAGCAAGGGAGTATTAGTCATTTTTAAAAAGACCTACAGGTAAAGAAAAGCAGTTTAGCAATTTCATTATTAACTAACTGATAATGAATGAAAAATCCTAACACCTCAAGCAGAATTTCATAAAAACTACATCACAACCTTAGCAAAGATATACAACATTTCTGCTAATCATTGCACACATACACAAAATGAGTATGAAATGCAGTGTGGAAAACTACATCTTACCCATTATTAACTCAGTTAACTAAAACTTGATACACAATATGCCGGCGTGTAATTAAAATTACCTCCTCCTTTTGGGTCTGTCCTCCACCAGCTTGATTTTACGACCATTGAGTTCAGAGTTATCCAATTTTTCCAAAGCAGTTTTCATGTCTGATAGATTTGCAAATTCCACAACTCTAAAAACACAAACACACATGAGAACAAGAACTACCATGTTTGGTTTTTGTTAAGCTAAAAAAATCCTTCCTCATTTAGTTATTTTTAATTCTTTATTTGTTTTTTAATCTTAAATAATTATTGGTGCCATTTTTTTTTTGTAAATGCCAAAAGTCTTAAATTTCATATATGTTTTTACAAAATTTTCAACTGATTCACTGTTATTTTTCAATACAGAAGAAAGCCTGCCATAATAATAATAATCTTTTTGGCTTAACTATGTTCACTGGAGCCATATGAAGGCCATTTCACCAAAAATGTGACTTATTTTTGTTGTTTAAATTTCAAAACTTTCTTATGCTGATAACTTGTCATGGAACAGAATCTTTTACTATCAAATCTAAGTGACAACCTTAGATTGTTTCAATAACAATTTTCTTCTATTAAGGCCTTCTGGTTGCCCAACACTTCAACCAACCTGGTCATTCTATTATTGATGTGATTCTCAGTAACATTCAAACTAGTTCCAAAAATAAAGCTGACAGAAGCATAATAGAAGCCTATTGGGTTGCCACTTTAAAATACTGTTCAACCTAGAGGAACAAAAGCAAGATCCCATAATCAGTGTTCTATGATTTCTTAATTGTTACCCCTAATGTTTCTCAATACGTTTTATGACAATTTTCCAAGTTAATCTCTTTAGTTTTATCTGCAATTCACATCTTTGTTTTATTTTATCAATACTCAATATAGTCTCCTGTTGTATTGCACAACAGAAATGAGACACACAACAATAAATTGAAAGCAATTCAAAACACTTCCACCTTTTCTTACACTTAGCTTTACCTGGCCATTCCCAGTTTGCCTCTGATGAAGAAAGGTCCATCTCTCAAAAGTGCTTGGGTTATAGGGTTTTGTATTAAATTGATTTTTGAACCTACATGTTTTCCTAACATCATGAATCAATTTCAATGGAGATATAAACATCTGAAAAACGTACCCTTCATTTTGCCGTTGTTTGTGAGCATCAGCATAAGTAACTTCACCTGCCTGTCTCATATAGTCCTTCAGGTCCTTTGATGAAAAGTAAATTATGTCATACAACAAAGTATTTTTTGAACTGAAACACAGATTGCCAGAAAACAATTAAATCTTTTAGTAAAAAAGTTGATATACCAAAATATCAAGGTGACATGTACTCTATACCTTGGTGACGAATAACAAATAGTTAAAACTTGTATCATCTTGAAACAAAGTAAATACAATAGTAACACAAATATGTAAAATATAGCTTTTAAACAATACTCTAAAATTATGTGAAATCTGTAACATAACATCATTAAAATATATTTGCTATGCTTATCACTTTAAAGCTCAGAGAGATATTAATCAAGAAAATACCAAAAAATGAAATAAATACTTCACATATTAGCTTACAAGTAAACTTAAACCCAAATTGCATGTATACATAATTGTGGTGGAAATATTAAGTTTCCTACCTTCTTTCAAAACAAATGAATATAATCAATATATATATTACTTAAAATTATTCTATACAAAAAAAAAAAAAAATTAAACACAGATAAACCCCTTATCTATATACAATCATGTGAAATAATTATTTACCTACAAATATGTGCACATTGTGAGAATTAAAAAAAAGATATATATATATATATATACAGTTTATGTACCCATGACCTGTCAGCTAAAAGGTTTTCCAAAGGTAATGAAGCTTTTAATTGAGATACAGATGATGAAAGCTTTTAGTTCCATGACTTGGATCTGACACATGGATTTTTTTGTTTTTAAGAAGTGAATAAAATCAAGGTAGTTTCTCTAGTTGACCATTGGAAAGACATAATTTTTTCACTAAGGTTAAAAAAAACCAATTTCTTCTCTATCTGCAGTTTGTTATTCAGTGTGCACAGCCCAATTTGATTCTGTTCTCCACTAATATGTTACCACAAACTTCACAAATATAATGCAAGCAATTTTTATTTCCTGCTCAAACATAAACAGTAGTTCAATTCACAGATTATGAAATCAGAGACGTGAAGAAACTGAAACACAGAATACAACCTAGAAAAAATTAGGTTTCTAATGCTGTTTCTGATGTTCTGTTCATTCTATAAAAACTAAGCACATTTAAAATTTAAAATTCCATATTGGAAATTTTTGAATATGATTCTCCAATAGTCTTCTTACATTCAATGTAAAAAAAAATTAAAATCAACTCATTCATGTAACAAGAGTCTTCACCTGTGCTCTGTTATCTATACTGTACTATGCAAATCATACTTGACAAAATCTACTTATCTACCACTTATGAGAACAAAAATTATAAGTTGGTATACATTTTCTTTTTACACAACACAGAATATAAAATTTTTCCTGCTAACTATCTGTCAAATGGTCACTTAACCAAAGTGAAATGGAAATGCTTGAGTTACTGAAATAGATGTTTAATAGCATATCTTCATAAATTCTCTCAATACTGTTTTCAATGATTTCAAGCTGACTGGTATTCATACTCTTGGTGTTGTGTTTACTTGAAGGTTTTGAAATGGCAAGCTTCTAAAAATTGGGTTTATATAGAAACTGAGATTATTATAATCTTTTCACCAATTCTTGGGTAACAAAATTTGAATTAAGAAACTGCTTTGATGACTATATTTTCCCCTTCTCACATCATCAAATTTAAGTTGAATGTTAAGGCGTTTTCAGTGCCAACTGGTGTCAAGCTGGGATCCACAGAGCAGCAGTAAATCTTTTCAGTTTGGGCTCAAATTACAGCACTTAAATAATTGCCCCATACTGGTATTCAGTCTACATTTCTCTTGAGAATTGTTTGACATCTTGGTGAAAAAGACATATTCCTTGTTGAATTCCTAGTAGAACAACTTGGTAAGCCATCACTCATAGATACTAGTAAAACAATGCTTGAAGAAAACATTTCATTACCTTTGGAAAAAACTCTACACTGACAATATTTGAATAACAAAGAAAGCTGTTTGTTCTTTTCTTGCCCTGTATATCTTTCATACAGGTTAGCACAAAATTTTATTTTATAAACAAACAGCTATCCAATGCATTCAGTAATGGTATATCTAATTCTTTATTACCTTATAATGTTCAGATAATGATAGTCTGTAGAGCTAATATTAACGATAGGTCAGAACGTTACCTTGACAGAGCCATAGTACTTCCCTCAGGAAAAAGAGGGACTCAAAGGCAACCCACGTACTGGACTTCATGCCACGCAGACTGGCTCAGCCCCCACACTGTGGCATGGCAGGGGTGAATCGTGCCATGGATTGTTGTGGCATCGGTAGTTCGTGATACTTTCATTTAACAGTCAGAACCCAGGGAAGGTAGCTAAGACACCATCCGAAGGCCTTCACCCGGCTGACATCACATTTTACGAGAACCTGCCCTCAACCACTAGGTAGGGGTCTTGCCTAGCAAATGGAAAGGCACCAACAGTGGCCTAACCAAAATGCCCTCTTATGCTCTTTGACCTGTACAACACTTCTAAGAAGATTGAAGCTGCAAGCCATAGCATGAATCATTATGTGTACAATAAAAACATCACAACAGCAAACCTAAGCCCTTCTTTACAAACATTACTCTTTGCCATTTCATTTTTTTTTCAGTTATTGCTTTTTCTTTATTTGATACCTTCTAAATGACTGAATTTTCAAAGTAAAACATTAAACAAAAAATAATGACAAAGATACTCATAAAATGTTTGTTGTACTTTAACTTAGTAAGTGTTCTATCTTACACTTAACTCTGAACCAGTATGATTTTGTAGTTGGGTAATGTTGCAATTCATGAACTCAGTCAGAAATATCCCACAAATCAGTGAAAAGTTCATATGAAACAAATCTTCCTTCTAGGTACTTGCTAACAATTCTTAGTTCTTGATGTATGCTTCACAAACAAAGTTAGATCTGTAAAAACCTTCAACTCCTTGAATGTGAACGAAACAAGACTGGCTTATCTTCTATGGTTCATCAGATAAAAGATGTTTTCAAAACGTTCTTTCAGAAAGCAATGACATAATGCATGGTGATGCTTCAACTGGACTGCCCATGGCTAAAAGAGGTCTTCCTGATCAGGCATCCTTTTATATTCTCTAACAAACTTCAACATCTAGTGGTATTTTTCTTTCCAGTCATGAAAATATGAAGAACTGAAGGAGCATCATGGCATCTTTCATATGAACTTTGAGAAGTACAACAATCCCAAATGATGATGAAAATGTCTTGTGACTGATTCAATTAGCGAACATCATCATATCAACACATATTCATAAAATTTATACTGTTTTGCATTTACTTTGATACAAGTGTACATTGTTTCACTTACTTTACAATAAAACTTCAAACCCATCCTTATTTTACTGTGAATATTTTAATAGTTAATTGAAGTTCAATAAGAACATTACCTTCAATAACACATGTACCTTTATTCACTGTTTGAAGTCACATATAATGATTTTTTTTTATTATTCCTGCCTATCCATCTTTTCCTTTTCAAACTTTTTCCTTGATTACTCTTCTAAAAGAAAAGTCAAGCAACTGAAGCTCACATTCTATGTATCACTAAAAGTTACTTCTTAATCAACACTACTGCTAATGGTCATGCCAAAATTCACCTATGTTACATTCTTCCCCCATACTTTCTTTTTTATTAATTTTTACCTCTCTTATTTCTTGTGTCAAACATTTTAGTTTAAATTTTTCACAAACCGAACTTAGAGAAACATCAAATGAACAATTACATCTTTTTGAAGAGGGCATGAAGAGTGTGTACTTTGCATTTAGATAGATTAACTTTTATCATAGTAAGCATATATTCAGAAAATTTAGTATACATTCTCTAAACATCAAAAGCCTTTTGTACACAAAAATAAGGTTTTTTAGTTAAGCATTTTACCAAGATTTGTCCATGAGTATTTGGAGTTAGTGTTAACTGCTCCGAACATAGTGATGTTCATGTTAAGATTAAAAATACTTTATCTGAAAATTGTGAAATTTTGCTTGAGTAATCTCTAAAACCCCCAAAAGAAATACCAAAAGTTTTGTTGGTAAGAATTTTATCTGTTATTTTCTTTACCCTAACTCTATATAGACTCGGTCAATTTGATTCACCTAGTAACCACCATAAAAAAAAATCAAAATAAATCTAAGTCACTTTTTTTTCTGCAGAAAGACTGCAGGTTGTAACCGAACACTACAATTATTAATCCTAAATAGCTTAAGGCTGTAACAGTGAACATCTGTTTCTACTTAATTTCATTGCCCTTTGAAACCTGTCTAACTAATAATCCTGCCATGTAAGATGTAAATCACATGGTGAATGTGTAACTTTCATTAACATTTTAAATGACATAATGCACAAGCTGCAAGCAAGCATACCTTGTAGAAGAATTTTTATTATCATTTTTTCATTATCTTACCAAATCTAACCTAAAGTTTCTAATTTTTACATTTTAGTTACAGTTAAAACAATAAATGAAGAAATATAGATGAAAAACAAAAAATATAGCACCTTTTATCATATTTGTTTTGTCATCAGTTGCCAATGAAATTTAAGCCTACTTTTATATATAATTATGGCAATATTATACCAAATTTATTTACTCAAACAATGCACCAAAGAACACAGAATAACAACACGCACAACGCAAATGATGTCCTATAACTTTTAGAATATAACTGGCTTTCTAACTCGGACACGAGGGGCTAATATAATCTCCTTGATCTGAAAACAATATAGCATTATAAGTCACTTTACAACTTGGCCTTTCTACTGCTTATGAATGATAAAAAGCTTCTGAGAAAATTACTGACTATTTGTGGAAAAGGATGTAACAGATGGGCATGGCAAGTGGGTCTAATTTTCTAGTTTATAACTATATAAACAAAGATTGAAGACTATAAAAAGTGGACTTTGCTTGAGTAGTATCTATATTGTGATGAATAACTCACATTAAATCTGTAATTCAGAGAAGAGTGGCAATTAATTAGAGAATGGAGAAGACCTACAGAACAAATGTCATGATTATCATGGTAGGGGTGAGATTGAGGATATATTTACAAACTTGCTTATATAATTAAGTACTTAAAAGTTATAGAGTATTAAAATTTGGTTTATTAACTACATTTTTATGCCAAGTTTATTTGTATACACTGATAACAAAGTAGTTTCATTAAATTTTGAATGAAACTTGTAGCAAGATGGTTAAACCAAAATGCGGTTATGAAAGTAAAACTTAGAAAGAGCAATACAAGTTGAAATATGTAACCCATACAAAAGAAACTTAATTACACCATGCCAAAAGCTTAGATGTTGTATAAAAGATACCTCTGGAAGACCTAAGAGTAACTTACTAGTTTTAACTGTTACATTTTGAATATAACAGCTGCATATTTATTCAACATATTTTCTTACAAAACATAAAATACATTATTTATTTTTGGTATGCATTAAAACTTGGGAAAAGTTTAGTAGTTTCTAGCCAAATAGCAGCAGTATTAAAAAGCTTCCTGAACTGGGCAAACATTTACAATTTCTCAAAATATTCAGTTGAAGCAATTTCGAATCACCTTAAATTTTGATTATTTAACCCATAAAATATGATCTTCCCAAAAGTAACCTTTAAGTACGTAAATTTTAAAATATGTGTGTCTTAAAAGGGTTTAACAGTAAGACCATCACAACCTTTTCACTTTATGCTGAATTTATTAACACCTTCATCCTCATGGCCCACCTGCTAAAAATTTTTGTTGCATCAGTAACTTTGGCAATTAATCATAAGCAATATTTGACAATACAAACTCAATTATACATGCATAAAAATTTTATATTACTTATGTACTTCAAATTGTGAATAAAGGTATGTCTTCAAAGGTGAATTTAATTATTGTTTTTTAAAGTTTTATGACATTATTACAAAAATAAAAGTATAATGTTTAAATTCAATCCTACCTGCCAGCTGACACGACTACTCAAATTTTCAACAATAAGTCTGTATTCAGTTCGTGTAGGAGGCCCATACCTGAAAGTGTCATTGCATACAATTAATGAAAATATCAAAATTTATGTTACAACAGACTCTGCAAAAGTGAAAACTAAAATACACCCACCTATATGATGACGTGTTCACTGCTACCATGGGTGAAACAAAACTATACCTAAAAACCGATCTTAGTTTTGAATTTAAATCTAACAGGACTCCAAACAGAAATAAACAATTTCCTTTTGGTTTATGTGAATAGTGACACTGTTGTTCAAACCTTTTAAAACTAGCTCCAAGACACAACATTTGTATCACTTTCAAATTGTGTTTTAGTAATATGTTACAACTTGAAACATCCTCAACATTCAAATATTCAGCTGCTTTAGTCTCACTAAAGAAATAGCCACTCTCACTATTAAAAAAAACTTCACATGATACTTAATGAGTTATTAGCATTTTTCCTTAACTTTGAAAATATTGAAGTTGATTTGGGTTTTCATTCGTGTTTCATGGGTTAAATTAAAAAACTAATAATAGTCTCTAAAAATTGCAATTAAAGGTCAGAACTGAACCAAGGAAATTTGACGTTACAACACTGTCACTTCAGTGCTTCTACTTAACATGAACATTTGAAATGAGAGCCATGTTGCATACAAGCAAAGTGGCTGAGGCAACATTTACATCTTTCAGCTGTGAAAGTTAAAATTTACTGTAGAAAAATCAAAATATTAATTTGGAATACTTAGAAAGACCTTTAAGAATAAAATGTTTTTTAGCAAAGATCACTCTAAATACACTGTTATTCAGGGTACTTATCTAAGCTTTCATAACTTTATACGATTCATTCTAAAAATAACACAAAATTGTTTATTTAATAAAGAGGAAGAACAAATATGATACAGTTACAGGCTTGCTTCTCATAAACAAATATTTGATGTACATTTAGAATATACAAAATGATTTTAATATTCTCCTTCTATCCTTATCATGCCCTTGTCTCCATTTAGCACCCAAGTACATATGGGAATAACAATTTTCATGTGCCCCATCTAAATTTCCCTCTGAAATCATTATCAAAATAAAATTTCTTACTAAACTGGAGAGATTTTAAAGTTTAGTTTAATATGAACTTCACTATAAATTACTTTTGATTTCAAGGCTGTTGATGTTTCAAAAAACAACAACAACAACATATAAGGGTTATTTTCTTTTTTTTACAACCTGTCTATCTCAGATTTTTTCCTTTTCCTTATATGGATTGTAAGTTTTAAACTTTAATTAGTATATCATACTATCTCTATTTACACATAAAAACATCCAACTGTAGCTGGATTGCACTCAGCACTTACCTTACTCAGAGATTATAATTAATTTTTATTGGCCCTGCTACTTTAATTTTTTAGTGACATAATTAGAACTATGGTGGGGCTTTTGTGCAAGAAAGTCTGTCATGGTAGTTTGACACATGTAAGGTACTGGAAGAGAAAAAGTGATGCTGCAGTGTAGTTAATAATGAGCAATGCCAATATATTTTTTTCAAAACTTTTCTTTGGCTGTAATTAAGTTAATAATCACAAAATTAGATAAAACTGTCAAGAACGTTATTTATTTAAACTGATTACTTGTCTCTTCCTGGTCTCCAACGAGGGGCTGGTCTGTAGTTTCGACTTCTTTGTCCATATACATCACTTCCTCGTGGTTGGCCACGAGCATGTTCTACCGATACTCTGAAAAGTTTTTAACAAGACACTTCTAAAATAACCATTTTTGTTCTTGCCAAAACTACTGAATAGTTAGACAATTTTTCCATACAAACTGTCCTATAAAAATCCCACAAAGAATAAGATACCATAAGATTAATTTGGTAACAAAAGTTACTTAAATCGAAATATTTAAAAACCATTTAGAGAAAGTTTTCTCACTAATTTTGGCACATTCCCATGTGCCTCTAGTGAGATCATCTCATGAAAAATAAAATATAGGAAATGCAAAACCAACATACAATGAAGGTAGCATATATCCATTACATAGTGTTATCTATGTTTTGGCCTTTTTATGAGAAAAATCATCTTTATACTATGGAAATATATTGAAATAGGTACAAGAGACATATTCTAGCACATTGTTGTGTAACATTACCACTGTGGCTAACTGACATTCTCATAGTGGTTTTTAACTCATAACTTCAGATCTGTTGATGCTATAGACTTCCAAATTGACATAAATTTGCATAATTAGCTATCTATAGCATGTATTAAGGTAAAGTTGATAAGAGGTTTGCTTTTTATTAAATGACCATAAAGTCATAGTTTCAACTATACATCCTACTTAAGGCATACTTATTAGTGCCATAATTTGACCTTAAATTAATTTTTGGAGTTTTCCTTAGTTCTGACTAATTCTTCACATCCCACCACAGTCTAGACCCATTTTCAGAAGCATTCAGTCATGTTTGTAGAAGTTATAAGAAACATAAAACATTTCTTTTGTATTTCTTTATTTTTATAATATGTAAATTAGACACAGTGGTAATGTTACACAACATGTGTCAGAATATGTCTTCGTACCTATTTCAATATATTTTCATATGAAAAGCATAGTATGAAGATGTTTTTTCTGTAAAAAAGGCCAAAACTTAGAAAACACTATGTAAAGGGTATATGTTACTTTAAGTTATGTAACCCTAAAGTTAGTATTGTATCTCTCATAGCTTCAGAATAAGAGATGAATGAAATATTCAATTACATGGTGCCACTGAACAAACAGTGTATAGGAATGAAATATATGTAAGTCTTAAATAATTATGGTAAAATCTAAAATACAACTAGTTGTGGCACACATACACAGAAAACAAATAACACAATACTCTCAACTATATTCATATATAAGGAAAACATTTACATTATATCTTCAGATCTTAATCTCTCAAGTTTTCTTTCTTTCTTCACTGAATTAAAGAAGAAGTGTAAACTATGCTTTTATTCCTAAAACAATGGCTGCAAGAAGTCTAAATCATGTTAATTTGTTGAGCATGCCAAGTGTGACAGTTCTAGAACTATGAATACTGTTTAACAATTCACCCATTTATGTGACTATCCAAGTTTCAATTAATTTATTTGTGAAGTTGTGTGTTCACTATTAAGTTGTACCTGCCACAGAAGCACCTCATGAATTGTTGGTTTGTTAATAAAATCAAGTCCTAAAGGTACTATAAGTTTATAAGATGTACAAAGCTAATACACACATGGTTTACAAATTGCTTGCTTTAGCATAATAAAGAACAATCCAAATTGTCCAGTGAAGTTTCAGTGATTATAAAACTTGAACTATACATATATACAAAAATTGTGCAGATATACCTATATATCTGATTGGTTATCAAGCCAAGATTCAAAAGCCTTAAATATACTGTTTCAAGTTACACTTTCGATATTTTAGATTTAAGTTATTAATAATCTTATTGCTACATCCAAAATGAAACCTTAGTTCCACTCCCTTGGGCAATAAGCATGAGTTAATACATACAAAAATGAAGTTGCAAAGACCATAAACAAAGTTGGACCTTCCTGTATAATTGATTATTGAATGTGCCTACACTGAAGCTTCCTCTATATTTTTATTTCACTGAATTCATTCTATTTTGGTATTCTCAAGTGAGACTGATTGTACTATAGAGCTTTGCTGGGTAAGTCCACTCTGCTAATATCAGTAGGTTTGAGAGTTTATGGTCATTGCAGAACAGTGCTGAAGTACTACCATCAAAGCTTAAAGTCTAGGAATACCACAGACAAAAGCAACAGTGTTTACTTGCCCAAGTCCAATCTTTCTTTCAGGATCACAAGCTCAAAAGAAGAGCACAACATGAATTTCAAAATCAGAACTATCTTGAGAATATTTTTTATCCAAAAAGAAAAATGGTTTCCATTTTTCCTAGAAGCATCACTATATGACTACCCATTCTATCTCTACATATGTCAACATATTTCACCCAATGGGCTAGAAGAAAAACCTGTTGCACTTTCCCAAGCCAAGAGGATAAAGATAAAACCTGATATGATAGAAAAAAAGATAAAGCCAAGAGGCAAGCTAATTTGGAGAAATTGTAATGGTCTTTTGGGTCAAACTTTCACATGACCATAATTAACCCTTTGGAGAGGGGTCACAGGTGAAAGGCCATGTCATCTTCTTTCTTGAATTGCATTCAAAACTTTATTTAACTACTATTTCATGAATTTGGTATCAAACTGTTGATTATAATTCAAATTTCAGTACTTATGTTACTTAATTTCTTAACTTTAAAAGCAAATAGTAAAAAAACACAGATAAACATTAATTTTTTTGTGTCACGTGGTATGTTGAATGCAGCAC